CCCGCGCCGGCCCCCCCCCCCCGCGCTCGCGCCACTCACGCGGCAGTTGTAGGCGTGGTCCCGCACGTGCGCCGCGTGCCGCGAGCGCGGGTGGCGCGCGTGGCCCCGCTCGCACACCAGCAGGTGCCGCGGCGCGCGCCCGAGCTGGGCCGGCAGCATCCCGGATCCCGCCGGCCTTCCTCCTCCTCCTCCTCCTCCTCTTCCTCCTCTTCCCTCCTCCTCTTCCTCCTCTTCCCTCCTCCTCCGCCGACCGGGAGCGGCCACACGCGGCGAGGAGGGCCGGGAAGGGGCCGTGCCGTGAGGTCACGTCCGCCGGCTGCGGCGGAGCAGCTGCTTCCGCTGTGGCGGCGGCGGGGCCGCGGTGCTGCTCTTGCCCGCGCCCTGCCCAGCGCCGGTGGCCGCTCGGGACTCTCGGTCCCCGCGGGCTCCGAACAGCCCCGGCACCAATCTGGCACCGACCCCGCCGGGGCTGGGCGTGCAGCTGCTGAGGGCGCGGTGGTTAAAGCACAGGGATGCTTCAGTGCCCGGAGGGAGCGCACAGGCTGGAGAGGGACCTTTACAAGTGACAGGACAAGGGGGAATGGCTTCAGACTGGAAGAGAGTAGGATTAGATTAGTTATTAAGAAGAAATTCTTTCCTGTGAGGGTGGTGAGGCACTGAAACAGGTTTCCCAGAGAAGCTGGGGATGCCCTATCCCTGGAAGTATCCAAGGTCACGTTGCCTGGGGCTCTGAGCAACCTGGTCTCGTGGAAGGTGTCTCTGCTCATGGCAGAGGGGATGCAACTGGATGATCTTTACTATCCCTTCCAGCCCAAGCCGTTTTCTGATTCCCGAGTAGCCCTGCAAGCTGAGACAGGGCCCCAGGACGCGTCTCCTCAGTTAAGCACAAGAASCATGTTGGGACCCTGCCTCTGTGTTGGGTTGTCTCACTGTTAGTACTGTACATTCTATATTTCATGCAAAGCATGCGCAAAAAATCCGTCTTTTCTGCCATCCTGCAGTGTTTCTTTCCCTGGTCCCCTGGCTTTCACTTTAATTTAAAATGGCACCAAGCAACTTTTAGGTGTTGTTGCTGTTTGCTGTTTGTGCACCCAGCACAGTTATTTGTCCAGCGTTTCTGGCTCGTTAGGTTGACTCAGCCCCCCTTCTTTCAGGGCATGTGTTTTCCGAGTGCCCCGGTGCTGCAGTGACACCGGGAAACTGCATCGCGTGAGACCGGGATGAAGCTGCACCTCAGGAGGTCACTGGCTCGTTAACGCTGTGGAGAAGGGACTCGGTTGCCTGTATAAATCAGATTGATTGGATTATTATGAATAAAAAAAGGCTATGCAATCACAGTAGCCTTCTAACTTACGGCGTGCAAACGTTAATGGGGAAGGAGCCACATGATTAATGTCACTTATTATCACACCCGCAAGCAGAAGCCTCTGTGGGCAGACGAGCCTCTCACTGCGACAATCAGAAAGCCTACAAAGGGGTGCTACAAAGGGGTGAAAAGTTCAAGCCTCTGATCAATAAGTCCAGAGAGTCAGTCAGGAAATTCAGCTATGCTAAGAGAAGCATGTGGAGGGCTTTTTATTGTTTGTTTGATTTTTTTTTTTTTTGGGGGGGGGACGGAGGTACAGAGGGGTGTTTTTGTGGGCTGTGTTGGGCCTTTTTCTATGAGCTCTCTATGCTAATACAATTTACGCTTTCTGCTGGGAATACGAATGGATGGGAAGAGAAATGAGGGAAAAATATGTTGGGGAAGGGTYAAGAGAGTCACGATTCATGGTTGCATATTCAGTGTCAAGTCAGTATTTTATRGATTCTGGCAGGAGTGTAGCTCGCTGCAGCACAGTGGAGCACTGAAGGACTTGCATCACTGTTCAGTCAGTTTGGTTCATATGTCAGGCAATTAATTTTAACCCACCCCTAGTGACAGATATTGGCTGTATTACAGAGTACGTGTGTTTTAGAGAACTCCCTGAAGATACTGATGATATTAAAAAAATGCACTTAGAAGTCCAGTAGTCTGTGCTGTAACATATAGAACTTCCCTATCTTTAAATGAGACATACATGTGTGTGTGTGTGTGTGTGTGTGTGTGTGTGTGTGTNTTGAGACTTATTTACCTAAGAAAAATTTAAGAGATAATGTCATAATCAGCATTCTGCTGATATCTCAGCCAAATTCCAATCCACAACATTGTTTTATGTTTATTCCTTAGTTTATCCTCTCAGAACATTTCCCATCAAGCATTGTGTAGGTTTGGCATTGCAAGCAAAGAGGCTGTCAGAGTGCAGGAGTGGCTGTTGCAATGCTGATGAATGTGCTCCTATGGAATAATGGGAAAAATTGAAAAGAAGAGAGATTATTTATGAGTAAAAAACTGCACTGATTGGCATTGTAAAAAAAAAAAAAAAAAAAAAAAAAAAAAAAAAAAAAAAAAAAAAAAAAAAAAAAACACCAAGAAAAAAATAAAACCAAAACCAAAACCACCAACCAGAAACAAAACCCCCACCTTTTAAACTTTAAATAATTTAAGGTGCAAAGCTCTCATGATTTTCCCAAGGATTTCAAACCCATGACAGCAATTCAGTTTCTCCATGCCYAAAGACAGTTACAGGATATTGTAAAGAGGAAAGGATTGCCTTGAGGCAACCTGTGGCAATAGCTTGGAATACAGAAGGATCTCTCATAYTTCCTGGGACTGGTGAAATTTGATTCTGATTTTGTATAAAGTGACTGAATTTGGAAAGAAAAGTCTGATCTTCACATTATGTACATTATCTCTTTTTGTGAAGCCCAGCTGCTTCTTGCATGTACTTTTTTTCACTCTGGAAGAACAATCTTAACTGCTGGATTTTCTGACTTAAAAAACGAATTATTAAAATAGTTAGGGTTTCATAAAATCAAATCTAAAGTATTTCACAGTCTTTTGAAATTGGCTTGTGTCTTTAGGATGAATCAAAGTATTTTTATTTTCACTGTTTTTTTCTTTCTTAAACAGTGTTCACTGCAGAAGAGAAGGAAATTGTCTGAATCTTTTAACCTTGGCTGTTGTAATTAMTACTTTGCAAAACAGAAACAAGCAGGTACCTCTGGTGCTGTGTTCATCTAAAATTAATAAAATGCATGACTGAAATCCAGCAATTTACATGATCAATGTCTACYGTTATTTCCATTGAGGAAAGTGGAAAGATGGTGACAATGTGAACAATTAGCTTTATACCCTGTTTTTCACACACTTGAGTTCATATATTCGGAGCAGTGATGGTTTGTATAGAAGGTCCCACTCAGGCTTGTTCTTTCAGGGGATTTCAGACAAAGCTTTGCCAAGCCACTCCCCARAGCAGCTGTTCAAGCCAGGAAGATTAGTGAATGCTAACCATGGACCAAGTTGTTTGGTTTGGTTCAAAATGTCATTAAAAACCCCCAAACAACCAACTATCTGATCTGTTTTTCTTAGAGTTAAACCCCCCTGTAGTCTGGGAAACCTCATACTCACTCAGTTTTGTGGTATTACAGTGGTAGAAGAAACGAGAGAGATAATTCCTCCAATGAGGTTCCAGGGAGCAGGAGTGTGTTTCATCTGTATTCAAGCAGGGTCTTCACCTCCACTTGCCTCCCAAAGATCAGGGCCTTGCATGGCAATGGGGAATTTTCATGCACTCTCTGCTCCTAAACAAATCAATTGTCCTTCACATTATGGCTAATATGAGGTGCATGTACTGTTTTCTATTCACACTTTCTTGCAGTAGGTGACAAACCCTGGCCATGTTCCTCTGGCTGCCGTTTCATCTGGGAAACATCCTAGGGAACACTTCCACACTCACCTCGATCTTCCATGAGTAATAGACATCTCCTTCTCCTTGCCCCATAATAAATGGGGAAAATGCWGCATTTTCCATTGCTAAGGTCTCCTCTCCTGGYGTGACAGATAACAGGCACCATTTCGCCTTAAACTGACTGACCAATTAACATGATCGTGTTAAACTCGTAGAGYTTTGTTCTCAATCTATACATAATTTTTACATGAGTTGGTGTGCTGAAGGATATTAATTGTACCTGCAGAAATTGTCTTGATAATATCCTTAGAACATTTTATTTCTAGTAACATTAGTGCTGCTCCTGGGATTGTGGCAGATCATGCTGTTACTTTAATACACCATCATGAAGATACAGGGTGCAAAGCAAGAAGAAAATAAAACTAAGTATTCCTTCCTATCCAGACCTTAAAAAAAAAAAAAAAACAAAACAAAAACAAACAAAAAAACCACCAAAAAAAAAAACCACCAAAAAAAGGAAATGGCACAGAAATTTAAAAGTAGGGTGCATTTTCTCCTAAGATCAGTGCAGAGTACTTCCTTCCCAGACTGCTTCAAGGAGAGGATTTGCCATTCCTACCAATAAATCAATAATATTTCCTGTTATTATGCATTCCTTTGTATGTTACTGCATATTGTTAGTAAGTATTGGGATTGCAAGGCCATTGGCATTTTTCCCCCACTAAACTGTCTCTGACCCTGCAAATCATAAAATGTACTGTGCTACACTTCATACCAATCATATGTGGGGCTGACTGTAGGTGTTTTCATGATTTCTCTTCCCAGTATTATCTATGAAATCAAGCAACAGAAACTGTTAATTTGGTTAATTACTGTGTAGTAATTAACCAAACTGGTTAATTACTGTGTAGTAATTAACCAAACCCACGTTCCCTGGTAAGAGAAGTATTTTCAAAAGAAATATTAAAAATGCTACTTGGAAAGAACAAAAATCTGTGAATTTTTGTGAATTTAAAACAGTTCTAATTTCCATAAATACAATTTTATCCAAACAACTGGGGAAAATGTGAAATTTCCTCCATTTTTTTTCAAGCCTGAAAGTTTGAAAAGAATTTTGGATAAAAGCTCTGCCAGTAGGAGTTGGCTCTTTAYCTGTACAAATTATTCACATGAAATCAGCTGCTGATTGTCATGATGGGAAGAAAAATTAATTTAATCTTTAGAGCTTGTGTCTTTGTATTCTGCCTGCTAGCATGTTGCACTCAGATTAACTACTTCCTAAAGATGCTGCTTTGTTAAGGAACATGTTAGGGAGCAGGCAAACCTTTGTGAATACCTGGATTTTTGTTTTAGGCAAAAAGTCCAGACAAGAAACSGCACCATCCATTAAATCAAGCAAACAGCAAAAATTGGATCAGTTTGAAGACATGRTATCTCAAATAAACTTCACTGAGACTTCACTGGCTGCCTGGAGCATTAGAGCTCTCTGCAGAACATACTGAAAGGTGACCACCTCACTGCTTTTACCCACTGCACTTAAATGTGAAAAATATAGAAGGCAATTTGCATATTGTTTCAGCTTTTGCATAGAGTGCCAAAACTTTTTGGGTCTTTCTGTTCTGCAGTATGAATCAAGAAATGATGACTACATGGGTTTGGTTGTAAACCATGGTGATAAGACACCCCCCCGAACATATGGCAGGAAGGAGACATAGAATATTACACAGAGTCATTAATCTTCAAATTTGAAAATTAGACAGGCTTCACATTTAAATAAAAATACTCTGTWTTTGGCCAAGATAAACTTTTTGTTCTCGGAGTGAGAAGGAGGTGACTTCTGTTGGGGAATGAATGCATCCTTCTCGTGGGAGAAATAAGAAATGCCATTTTTAATTCATTTAGCAGGATAACTAGGAAACAGCATATAAAATTAAGTGAAATTAAATGCAATCTTCAAGGATAATGGGTAAAAAAGGAAAACTGGAAAGAAGAGAGAATTTCTCTTGAAATAGGTCTTTGAGGTAATTTAGCTTCTTTCAGTCACTGAATCCATTCAATATTCACAACAAAAATTAATCCATTGCTCTTAAAACTCTTGCACAGTTCATTAATTCATTAATCCTCCCTGGTTGTTAAATTGCTCCTCCTTGTGTCTCCAGCCTGATTAATAATTCACAAGGCAACTATAGGCTCAAAATGTTGGTTCTCWAAGACTGGTCTGGCCAATCTTGATCTTGTTGAGTTGTCCTTAGATTTGGAAATTAAATGCTTGGTGGAAAGGGTCTGGGTAGCACTGCTTATCTGATTAGGAAATAGTAGTATGGAGTGAAGAGGGACAATAACTACCAGAAATCAAAGCAACAAATCCAATGGGATGAGTGGACAGTGATCGACTTACTGCTGTTGGGAAGAGGGTAATGTARAGCAGCAAAAATGTTCTGTTCACTTTAACTGTGCTCATTCACTTCTGTTTCTTGGACAGGAGACAGACCAGGGTGTGCATGGCACCACTTCTTCAAGAACATCTTTATTTTGAAAACAAAGYGTCTTCTTTCAACTGAATTGGTTTTGAACTCCTTACAGTGTGATTTCTCCTTGAAGTATTTTCAAACTGAAGTGAGCTGAGTCCTTCTGCTTCACTGAGTAAAAAGATAAACAACWCAGTTTTGGCACCATTAGGTTGCAGTCACAGTCTATCATATCGCAGAGACATTAGAAAAGATGTACTGAATCACGGAAGTAGCAGTCTTTAAATGTCTCCTCAGTTTGGGAGTGAAAAGAAATAGGACACGTGGGATTTGTCTTTTTGTTTTAGTTGGATATGAAAACGGAGACAGAAGCAGAATTACAGCAGGTTACTAGTCCAGACACCAGCAAAGGAATATATTCTGCTAAACTTATTCTTAAATATTTACTATATGAAMATGTATTGAACTATGTTCAAATATCTGCAGAGGACTTGTAAAAGGAACTGACACAATTCAGGCCACTAGGAACACAGAGTCTAGARGAACTTTATCAAGGTTGCCATTCCAATTCATGATGATATGAATCATGATAACATTCTTTGATAAGGTTTTGATCCCATGATCACATACTACAAACATGGCTGGAGGACTTGGACTTAATTTTCTTCAAATTACAAAGAACACAGGAAGGGAAAGGATGGTCCTGCCATGGAGGCAAGTCATTTTCTAGCTTAAAGGAACTAAATTTTATTGCTGGTCCTGACATTAAGCACCTGGAAGTGCTATGCAAATTGCTCAAACCAACTTGGCTCCCTGATGCCTATTGRTAACTTTCTACCCCAATAACCTGAGCAGTCAGATTTCAGACTCCAGCTGAAATCAAAAGGAGTGATGTGCTGAGTCCACGAAAAATCTTCAATTCTCATAAGCAATACCGAAAGTCAAGTTGCACACTTCCAAAATGAGCACTTAAAATAAAAGGACACTTTTTTCTTTGGCCTCTCCACAGCTCAGCTCTCTAATGGTAAAAATCAGGAATTCTTCAGCTCACAGTAGTCTACTGTTTCTGAGGCACTTGAAGATCCTGTGGTGCTGAGCACAATGGAGGATCCTGTGAGTAGATCCCTTCACATTTCCAGAGCAGGACTGGAATATTGTTCAATAAATAAGGCCTACAGCTATGCTTAGAGCAATGTAGAGAAAGGCAGTGACAACACCATTGAGTAACTGTCTATCTTGTGTGCTTAATGAGACAGTCCTGAAAGAAAAATGGCCTAAAAATGCATAATTAAAGGTTGTAACCTAAATGATGAGCTCAAAAAAAAAATTAAAAAGGGCTGCATTAAGGTTAGAAAGGCAATGTGACTTCAGGCAATTTTTRGTGTATTGATGCTTGAACCTGTATTCCCATCATTCTTTTAACATGGATTTTTTTATGGGTAGTTAATACTAGGCTCTCTTCTACTCTTTAGAAATAAAGCAATGATACACTGATTTGATGAAATGCAGCATATTGCCCATTGAAATGTGGGTATTAAAAAAAGAGTAGACGAAGTGTATTTTATTTACTTGAGTTTGCAGGACGAGGTTTATGTGTATCTGTCTTTAAGACTACTGTTGTTTAGCACAAACTTGGACTAGGAGCATGTCTTGAGAGAGACTTGAGAACAAAGCACTCTTGAAGGAGCAGTATCAGACATGAACTTGTGCATGAAAGTAAGCATAGAACCTCAGTGGCACCACCCCTACTCTCATCTACCCAGTTTGGTTCATATTTTACAATGCTTATAACATTTTTAAACATCAGCTTGGGGGAACATGTCTCCCAATGCCACAAAGCAGTGACTTTGCTGAAATCATGTACTTTGCTAAAATTATTTGTAAGCTAAGGTGAAATTATTTTACCTGACCACCAGCATTGCCTCAGTTTGTTCAGAAATTCTTTGCAAATAGTAATAGTAGTAATAATAATAATAATAATAATAATAATAATAATAATAATAATAATTGTATATTTTATACAACAGGTGCCGTAGCAACCCTAACTTTATGTTCACACACCGCCTCCTCCTTCATCCTTTAACCAGCAAGTCCTGCCATCTCTTCTCCCCACCCCAGGCTGCAGCAGGTCACCTCTTGAAGTGTGCACCCTTTCATGTTTGTTAGATTGCTATCCTGACAGGATCATGTGTGCCTTGTATTCAAAGGCTTCAACTCTTATTTGCTTCAAATAGAAGGTGCTGGTTTTAGAATATTTTCTGATTTTCAAGTGTTAGATAATGCTGGTTCCATTTGCAGGACAGGTGATATGTTCATGTTATTTCAATTCTTCATTTTGTTGCTGGAATGTATTTGCAGTTAGACAAAATTGGAAAGCAATGACAATCAACCACACCACCAGATGGAGCTTCTTTTCTGCCTTTCCTGCTGAAGGTRCTGAAGCTGTGGAACTGAACTCATTGGGACTGTGGGACTTTATAGTCAGTGAAATAGAAAACTCTGTTTTTATTTCTGGTGATGCAGGACTGAACATCCCTGCATTCAAAGATGGCTATTTCAGCRATTTTTATTTCTGTACTGTTAATGACAGCTACTGTGTCAGTCCTTTGCTCTTACAGGTTTAGGCTCTATCATGCAATTCCGTTTCTTGTTCRTGCACTTGAGAGTTTTCAAGTACAGGCTCACTCATTAGAATGGCATACTAATATTAAAGTAGCATGTATTTCTGCTTTTTTTTTCTTTCCTACTGTAAAAGCTATTAACATTCTTTAGAAAGCAAATATCTCTTTATTCAGCCCACTATGCAATCTATTTTATTCAMTGAAATTCAACTCTGAAGTCTCCTTTTTCGCTTTTAGCAGTTTTGTATTGTGTTACAGATTCCTAGTCGCAGGTTTATATATGCATCAACTGAAGTTATGATGTTCATCAGTCATGAGAATTGATGTAAATGACTGTGATAAACATTCTCTCTCTTTTACAGGATATGCTCTATCAGATACCTGTTTTTCTATCTGGTATCATAGCTGAGCAATTGAGAACACACAGTAACTGAGGCAGAAAATGCAGAAAGACAGGGTYCCTTTTTTGACAGTGTGAAAAAACWTTCAAGCCAACAAATTTTAATTTRGTGTTTATACAGCAAAATCACTTGGAAGCCTATTTCCATTTTAACCCAAGAAAAGAGACTGACGTGCAACTTACCCAGCTGTGACTGCTGGACAGAAAAGGTTGGCCTGCATTTGCCAGGAGTTATTAGGACAGGCTGCATTGCACAACTCTGTTTTCCCAAAGGACAGGGAGGTATCTGAGCAGATGAGGTCAGGTTAGCGTTCCATTGTGCCACGTCAAACACAACTCCAAAGAGCAGCAAGGCTTTGCCAGCCGATGTCACCAAGGTCCACCAGACGAGTTCACGCCGCTATTGATTTTGACTGAGCTACGCGCCTTGCTGCTTGTAACAAAGGCAAACACAAAAAGACAAAACAGAATTAATGTGGGTACAAGTTCATGTTGTTTTCCATTTCCATGTTGCATTTCCAATGAATAAAAAAANNAGGGGCAAATCTAATGGCTCAGATATCTAATGTTCATGTGCTAACAACTCAAAAAGGTGATCTAGTAATATGTTTTTTTGTCATGTTTTACATCCTTTCCAGTAGTTCATTTTGGAGGGTATGTCAAGCATTTGAAATTTCTGAGTGTCCTTAGACAAGAGGTAAACATCTTCTGTCTGAATAAGTTTCCTTACAGAATTTTAAGAAGACATTGGGTTTTGTTTTCCAAAGTCAGGCTGCTASGTGGCAGGGCAGCAACTTAAGAGAAGGCAAGAAAAGATATTAATTATTTTAATACCTTAGCAATGGTTTTGGCGGTAGAATGCCCTTTATATAAACCTATTCTGGATAAGATCGAGCTTCTTCCTCACTGAAGCCCAAAGCAGCATACTAGCACAATGTAGGGCAAGAATTTGATCCTAATTATCGTAGACTGCAAACAAAAARCCCCAAACAAACAAAACCCCACATAAACACAGAGGTTTTACATGTGAGAACCCAGATCCTAGTGTTCATCAGAAACTTTTGAAAGAGATGCGGTTCTGCAACTTTCTGGAGATCCACATTAAAACAAACAAAACCCATAAAACAAAACCCTTTTCAACTCCTGTGCTGTGAATACACTTTGGAAGCTGAAACCATTTTTTCTCCCTGGTAATCTGAACTTTTCCTTTTCARAGACTGTTTATTTGAGTTAAATTGCTGAAATGCAACAACAGTCTATAAGGAAGGCATCATGACAATTTGTACATAGGAGGGGGTTTTTATCCTCATGTAATCTACTGATTAAAATACTCACAAATGGCTTAAGATATTCAGTGTACGACATGAATATAAAAAGTTTAGATAAATACCTTATAAATATCAAAGGTATTAAACCAATCGTGACACCTTTATGAACCACTGAAGCAATACTTCAGAAATCTTAGYGAATAGAAAGGTTTTTGTGCAACTTCGTTTTGTCACAGTTAATGCCAATTCCATTCTGAATTTAGAATCCTTTGTGCCATTAYTATATATTTACTTGTCATGAAGAATGGCCTTGATTTTATACCAGATGTAGGGAAATCTTGGACCTACTGAAATCAATGACAGAACTCCACCTTCAAGGAGGTTAACATTTCACCAAATGAAGGGACAYTCCTTGCCTTACTGCCAAATTCTTGGTATTAGTAATTGAAAAGGATATTCAACATCATTATAGGAAACACAGCCATTGCTATAGTTCAAGAAAACTGAGTAAGTGTATTTTCATGTATTTAATCTCATTAGGAACATCAGATGAATGTCTGCTGAGACAAGAAAAACTATACATATATAAAAGTGCTACCTGAGAGACTCAAAGCTCTAAAGGGTTTTGCTTGCTGGGCATCCTGCAGAAATTACATTCAAATCTTTGTATTTAAGATTTGGAAATTAAAGTAATCACTTCATTTATTTCTTTCCATTTCAGTACTTTTCCCATTATAGATCTAATTAATGCCTTTTTGAAGTATAGCTGCTTGAGTTTCCGCTTAAAGAAGAAAATCAGGTCTAATAATCTTACTTCTGAATAATTTCTATTCAAATTGTATAGACACACTGAGTTTTGCCTTCAGTATTTGACCATCYTCATAAACATAGTAAACTGAAATCCCATCATTATTAGAAACACTGAGAAATGTGGGATATGGGATAGAGAGCATTTTTTTTTAATAATTGGGGTGGCTGTTAAAGTCCTTGCTGGCATTTTTGTATAAGAAACATGACTGTTAAAACTGGGATGAAGAACTACRTAACTTGAAAAGTGAATCAAGAATGCTGCTTGAACGAATGCTGCTAGCATTTGAAAAAGGTGMTATTAATTTTGCATGTGAACTGTAATAATCCCTGCCTATTTCTAAATCCCTGTAAATTGTTTCATAGGGCTTAGGAGTTATGACTCATTCACATTTTCTGACAAGTTATTGTCATGGGAGATTTTCTTAGAAAACACATAAGTAAGAAGTTGGAGAAATCTGGCACACTTGAACATCCAAGAATTGAATACTTTCCCCTTGGACAAAGTGGAAAATCTGCTAGCTTTGGGTTTGAAAGTTGAAGGTAATATTAAAAGTGCATTAGAAGAAAGGATGAACAGTATTTGAATGGGTTTCTGTTTTACATTGTGTGGTTGAGTTGAATCCACAGCATCGTCCACTTACTTGACTCTGGGTGTCTGCAAATATATATTTTCACGTTCTTTTTCTGTTCAAATGATAACAACTATCAATGCAAGCAGTTTGACCAATTTATCAAAGAGATATCAAAGAGAGCTCCAAGCCAAAATCCCTGATCTAATGAGTCCCGAGAAATACATTGCCATACAATCACGGTGAGAACTGAAAACCAATACCATKGGTTGCTTACCGGTGATTTTCACAATCTATATTTCAATGTCATTTTCAGCAATCATCTTAGGATGCCAATGCTTCTGAAAAAATGCGTGTGCTGATTGCAGGATGGGGTCAAGTTGGGCTCTTGTTAAACAAGGAGGAAAATGTGTTGATCCTGTGTGTAGCTCATAACCATAAACATATCTAGTCCAAGCTCAGGGAATGCAAAAAGCCTCATGGCTGCAAATAATACTATCTCTCTTTTACTAGGAAATCCTTCTATTTTTATCTCAACATTTTCTTTAATAGCAAATATTGTAAATAGTACTTAGAAGCCTGAGATCCAGGTTGCACCATTCTTTTAAGAGAAGGCATTTTAAAACACATAAAAGAATACTAAATGCCTCCTTAACTGATGTCCTCTGGCAGGGCTTGTTGTGTAGTTGAACATCTGTTCTAAAGGTTTATCTGAATTTAAATTCCTTTCAAAATGGTAGCAACTGATTCCCACTAAAAATATGACTTTGTATGCCGTTAATTGCCTGATTTTAATTATTTTCCTGCAATATGGATTCATGTTGCCTTAACTGCTTTTGCTTATTTTCTATGAATGGTAGTTCTTTTTGCAGGCCTGTCTCCCAGAGTTATGGAACATACAAGAAATGTGTATTAATTGCTAACATATTACTTAACTTCTCCCAATATTTACAGTTGCTTTCTCTTTTTGCTGTCCCTTATTTGGCTTAAAYCTTTCACATTACTCTATAATTTCTGGTAGTCCAAATGGTTTTGCCTTATGAGCAAATGGCACAATTTTTTTCCCTTCACTGCTTAAAACATTTGTTAACGAATTGGCAAGCTGGGATAGCTTCCGCATGAGGAAGTAAGGGCTGGTTTCTTCATTTCTGCTTTCCTCACCATAAAATAGATAACACTTTAGGATTAAAGTAAAGTAACAGTGTTGTATTTTAGGTAAGGGTGCTTGAACGTATTTTAAGTACTAATCATCCTTATCCTACACATCATCTATTCATTTTTCTTCTTTCAAGCTTGGTTATTTGAGGTGCCACAAGCCTCAGATAGGTGAGTGAGGAGGTCTCACTCCAGGCACAARTAAGAAAGTGTTTGCAACCTGCTTTCATCACAGCAAATATTACTTAACAGGAGAGTGTTTGGGAGAGACCCAACGTTTCCATCCACTGCTCTGTTAGAGCCACCAGTAGGTCAGGAGTGATGGTGAAAGCAGGTGACACCAACACCTTGGCTGCCACACTGAGGAATAGAAAATGATGTTCCTCCTTCTTGTGCTGCACCACAGACCTACTCTGCTACTCCGCTGAGTAACTCAGGACCACGGTCTGTGGTCCAGCACCATTAAGGGCTGAAATGGTGGCACACCAGCTCCCTTGGAGCCAAAGGAAYGCTCCCAAGAAGGGCTGAGCCAGCAGCCTGCTGAACATGGCAGCTGCCAGCAGAGCTGGTGATGAGCAGCTGATGGCAAACTGGCATTCATCATGTTTTCCATTAGCACAGCGGGTGCCAGCCAGGATGTTTGTCCTTCATTCCTCTTCTTACAATGCCCTTAACCAAACGACAAGCAAATGTCAAGAAGTCAGATTATTCGGCACTTCTAAGGAACTGCTCGCTGTTCAGGCCTTCCATCAAGGTGTAGCAAGAACATCCTCACAGCAGTGTCTGCTAAGAAAACTGGTGATGTTTCTGCCGCTTTGACATTCATTCCTGTGCGAGACCCAGACTGCACACTCAGTTAACTGCAGTGTAATCACTCACACTGGGAGGCTGCTTTTTGGCAACCAGACTGATGCTAAAAATAAAACAAYCTATGCAAAACAAACAAAAAAATCTTGCTAAATCCATAATGGGAGTATGTTGCTTCAAAATGCACTGGATTGTTTGCATGTGCCTTTTGGTGTCTTTTCCATGAGAAAAAGAATGGAGGGAAGTTTAATAACGTATTTTTGCAATCATCCGTGCAAATCACCCCACACAATAGCTGTGGCATGCACAAAGCATAGAATCAAGTTTGGAAACTTCTCAGATAYGAAACCTCATCCTACTTACAAAAATATGTTGTTGTAAGAATGCTGTTTACTATGCATCATATATACAAAATAAAATCAAGAGGGATTCTACTTTTCTTTATTTAAGGGGCAATGCCTGTATTTTGTTTTCCSTTCTTCAATTTTTGTTTTTAATTGGAAACTTTGGAGATGGCCTGACCTTCTAAAAGGGTGCACACACGTGTATGCCTCCTGAGCCTTTGGACTTGATTTTACTAACAGTACAGTTAGTACCGGGTGTGGGTAAAAAMCAGAGATTTGTTTACAAAACATATCGTTCTGTAAAAAGTTAAGGCCTTCGGGGTTTGTTTTACCTTTGGAGTTTTGTCTTCGAGCTCCGGTCTCAAAAAGTTTCTCTGCAATTAGGATGGGTAGGAACTGATTTACCCACAAAAGCCGGGGTSTCACAAACTCCCAGCCTTAGAGCGCGGCTCAGGGGCAGCACCCAGCCCTACTTACGCCCGGGCCGGCGGGGAGGGCGGCGGCTCAGCTCCGGTACCGAGGGGGCCGCTCGATTCCCGCCGCCTCCCCGTTCCCSGGACGGATGGAACTCCTCGGTCATGCCAGCCTGGGCTTGGGGGGCTCCTGCTTGATCCTGACCCTTCGGGCTCTTTCTTCGGGAAATCTCCGACGGGGGGAAGCCTAAATAATGACGACGGCGATGATCATAGTAATTAATTATAGTAAKAACGAAGCCTGCTCCAGCAGCCCACGGCCTCGTGTTTTCCCCCGGCCTGAGTGTGCGGGCGGGGCGGCGGGGGGACACCGGCGGGGCGCCTCTGTCCTCCAAGCCCGTAAAACACCGCGGCGTTGCTCGCTGCTCGCTGCTCCGCGCCCTGGAAACGGCGGCCCCCGGGGGCGGGAGGACGTGCGGGGCCGCCCGTCGCGGCTGTTTCCGCGTTGCCCGTCCAGGGAGGTCCCGCCCCCGCCCGCGGCCGCCCCAGCCCCAGCCCCAGCCCCGCGGGGAGGCTCCGGGGCTGGCGGGGGGGGGGCGCCCCCC